CGGCCTGTCAAAGAAACTGCGGGACCGAGCATTTATGCAGCTCCTGGAGTTTTTTTCGTTGCTTATGCCAGATGTGGATGTTCTATACAACACTCTGCAAAAACGAAGCATCGATGCACCCGGGATCAACAGCGCGCTCTGCCGTTTCAAGGAAAATGTTCAGAAAATGAGGCAGAAAACTGATGCATTGGCCGCCACTGCTCATGATGGAACAGACGAGCCAGGCCGACGAGTCAGCAGCACAGCGCCGGTGATGAAGGAGGCTTGTGACACAGTCATCTCACAGGTGGAACAGAGGTTCTCACAGAGTGACCATTTGATCGCTGCAAAGCTTGTTGACAGCTCATTCTTCCCACAGCATGTCCTGTCATTTCCTACACCTGAGCTTGACTGCGCCGTGAAACTGTGGCCTGCGTTGGGAAACAAGGAGAAGTTGAAGTCTGAGCTGACCACGCTCTACCGCCACAGTGAGCTTCACACTGGAAACACTGCCCTGTCTCTGTTGAAATCCATTCACGAGAACAACTTGGAGGAAACGTTTGCTGAGACTGTTATTTTGGTCAAAATAATAGTGACAACTCCGATGACGACATCCGAGTCAGAGAGGAACTTTTCCACCCTCAAAAGGATAAAGACTTTCACTCGCAACACCATGGGACAGCCGCGACTTAACGCATTGGCCATGCTTTCAATTGAAAGCCAGTTGATCCAGCAACTACAGGACTTCATCCCCAAAGTGATAGACACATTCTGTCAGAGGAAGGACCGTCGTGCCGCTTTTCTTTTCAAGTGAGCCTTCAGCTTTGGTAAGTTCATTTATGTCATATATTTTGTTGATCTTCTGTGTTTTGCCTCTGCTGGATCGATTGATATTGTGACCTCGATGATGAGTGTCTGTGTTTTCCTTATATTTACAGTCTATGGTGTTTTAATGCTAAAGCATTACGGTTGTTGTTATTGTTAAGAATTACTTTGTGATGGTGACCTTTACTCCATGTATGAAGGTGCATTACTATGACATCCCCACGCTGTGTACGTAAATGTATGCGCTCACAGTGTTGCTCCTGTGGTCTTCAGTATGTAATTTGACACTCCCCTTCTCTCTCTCCTCCCCCCCTCTCTCTGTCCCCCCTCTCTCTCTCCTCCCTCTCTCTGTCCCCCCCCCCCCTCTCTCTCTCTCTCCCCCGACCTCTTTCTGCCCCCCCAGTTTTGTACACCTAGAAACGCCACTGAGTGTAGGCTATGCCTGTTTGAAGTTGTTGCTAAGGAAACAACATGACGGAGAACAAGTATAATCTTCTACATATAATAACGGACAAAGTCAATAATGAAGTGTCGGCTAGTGATGGCCCTCTTGAGTTGCCGTAAAATATGACGAATATGACGGATAACGGATGCGACGGAAATACACCCGAACATATCTGGTGTCAGTACCAGATATGTTCGGGCTACCAGATATGTTCGGGTGTATTTCCGTCGCATCCGTCATCCGTCATATACTCACCTCCCTCTGCTCCCAGCGCTCTGCTGCCACACATCGGCCGTCTGTGGAACTGCAGCCGGAGGAACTCGGGACAGCTTGTTATATGTGGCGTGCTATGATGGGGTCCCATGTACTTGTGCACATAAATAATGTTTCTAATTATTTACAATTAAAAAATATATATATTCTGCGTTACTTTAGCCAACACTTTTATAAGGCCACTAGATTAGATAATTACGAAATGTGTAGATGGAATACATATATTTCAGGTTGTTATTTTGTCATTATGTTTAATGTTTTATTTACCTTTTAGTATTTTTATATAGTATCTGAACTTTGGAGAGGAGTTGGGAGACACACGACACATCAAATCACATCTACAGATCAAGGCGAAGCGAATGGAAGTACTCCCATACTCTATATACTAGCGTGAAAATGTTTGTGAAAACGTGTGCAAAGTCTCCGAAAATCCTAAAAATAAGCTCATATTTTAATTCCCCATAAAAAAAACACATCATTCAGTAAAAACAAGGCCCCACTGATCATCTACTCTCTGAGACGATTCCAGGGATGTCTGGCTTGAGTTTCGACCACCAGGGAAAGTGGACAAAAGTGCCCGAGATCAGCCTCTTAATTTACCCAGGGCCTAGTGCTTGGTTTTGGGCATGAAAATTCAGGAAACTCCCCTGAGTATTTTATTAAATATCTGAACTTTGGAGATGAGTTGGGGGACACACGACACATCAAATCACATCTACAGATCAAGACAAAGCTAGTGGAAGTACTCCTAGCGTGTGAAAATGTTTGTGAAAACGTGTGCAAAGTCTCCGAAAACGGAGCAGTGGCTGTGATGCTAGCTTTGCGGCTAGCGGTTAGTTGTTATTGTTTGAAGTTGTTGCTATGGAAACAACATGACGGAGAAACAATTAATATCTTCTACATATAATAACAGACAAAGTAAAGAATGAAGTGTCGGCTATGCCTGTTTGAAGTTGTTGCTAAGGAAACAACATGACGGAGAAAAAGTATAATCTTCTACATATAATAACGGACAAAGTAAAGAATGAAGTGTCAGCTATGTTTAAATGTTCGGAATTTGACCGTGATGGCCCTCTTGAGTTGCCGTAAAATATGACGGATGACGGATGCGACGGAAATACACCCGAACATATCTGGTAGCCCGAACATATCTGGTACTGACACTGGTACTGACACAGGGACTTTCGTGGGAGAAAAAGGTTCCTGTGTCTGATTGGCTGGGCGGATTGCAAACCACGCCCCGTAATACTCCCAAAAAGTTTTGTGAAGCCGCCATTTTAATATCCTCGCATTAGCATTATTAGCATTAGCCCAGCGCAGAAACGCAGAGAGACTAACTTATGGCAACACAAAATAAAACATGGGAGCGGTGGAGATGAGGAGGTGTCGGCGTTCTGGCGATTTACTCTGAAGGCTTCAGTAGAAGCTGCTGGGAGTTCCAGCAGCTTCTACTGAAGCCAGTCCCCAACTCCGGGGACTTCCGGCCGGGGACTCCGGGCGGCAGTATACGCCGTGAAGTGGTTTGCGGCCTGCCAGTAAACCCAAAGCAGAAGAAGAACAAGTGACGTCAGTGGCTTCATTTGCCCCTCCCTCAGGGACTTATTCCGGTGTGAACGCGATCTGTACTTAGTTAGTACTGAGTTCCTTGAACCTTTGCGGGAAAAGTACAGCGGTGTGAATGCGCCTCTTGACAACAAATCCACTTGTGTTGGGTCTATTGATGACTTAAAGGTCCCATGTCATGACCATTTCTACTGATCATAATTCCATTGTTGAGGTCTACTAAATAGATTTACATTGTGCAATGTTCCAAACTCACATTGGTTTCTCATACAGCATCTCTGTATAGTATGTGTATTCACTCTGTCCTAAACGGCTTGTTGGAGCTCCTGCCCCCCCCCCCCTCCCTGTGAGCCCACTGTGCTCTGATTGGTCAGCTCGCCCACTCTGTTCTGATGAGTCCACCGCCGTTACAGCGGAACATCAGTGATGTGTTACAATGGCGTTAGCAACCAGGAAATGACACCAGTAATGACAAACAGATGAGAATGCTGCGTGGGGTCTGGGTGCCGTGTTGGCGGGACGTTGCGGGGCTCGCTGCTCCGCCCTTTGAGACTCGAGGAGCGGACAGTGTGAGCTGGATTACTGGTGTCGTTTCCTGGTTGCTGCGTGGGGTCTGCGAGACAGCGAGACACAGAGGAACTCAGCCTGAGCACACACACACAGTACACACACAGCCAGGCTGATCACCACACACTCACAGCCTGAGAAAAGATAAGGCTGATTGTGTGTGTGTGTGTATGTGTATGTGTATGTGTATGTGTATGTGTGTGTGTGTGTGTGTGTGTGTGTGTGTGAGAGGAGCTCCACTGATTGGTCCATTTGGTCGTCGTTACGTCACTTAGACCAGGAAGAAATAAATGGAAAAAGAGAAATCTCCAACGAGGCGTTCTGGGGCAGCATAGACAGGTATTTTCTGTGTTAGAGTTTTACTCGCTACAGGGTGTACTTTGAGGGTTTGTGACTCTGCAGACCGTTTACATGCAGAAAAACCTTCATAACACACAAGGGGACGGGTACGGAAAAGCATGACATCGGACCTTTAAATACATTTTTCCCCCCATTTATTGACATTTTTACACCTTTTTGCCTCCTTGTGTCTCATTTTGGTAACTTATGTCTGTTTGCGGTTATTATAAGTATCATTATGGTAATTGAATTACTCTTGTCTTACTTTGAGGTCATTTTGAATCTCATCCTCGTGGTTCGTGTCTCTTTGAGTGACATTCTTGTATAACAAAGCCCCTGGGCCTGTTCTGTGTATTAATACTTACTTTACTCACCAAATGATTCACACATATCATATTTAATCAACTCTTAATGGTTGACTGTGTGATTCTTCTTACTTGCTGGCAAGATAAGGTCCCTTGTCTGTATATGTGTTTAATAAAGGCGTGCCATGTTTAATAAAGGCATGTGTAGTGCATTAATAAACAGTATTTTACCAACAGTGTTGCTCACCTACATTAACAGCTCGTCCACTAAACGTCCAGCTTTTTAATATTTCCACTACCTTTTACTCCGAGCTAAATGACATCAATTAATTTCCTCTGGCAGATCATTAATCTCGCTGTCGAGACACCGGTGTGCGCTGGAGTAAAAGGAGGGTCGGGGACAAAGTGATGTTGAACTTTAGAGACAGTTTATTTAAACTTTAATTTACAGCAGTTCCACTGGAGAGGAAAAAGAAAGTTTGATGAGTTCTACGGTTTGTACAGGGATGCAGCTCGGAGTGCAGAAGGCACACAGTCGGCTTGATACTCGCCTGTAAGCGCTGCAAAAACATTACAAAAAAGATGGAATGACGGCGTTCAAATGGATGTTTTTTGCTGAGATGATGCCTCCTGTTTGTACTCCAGTGAACTTGATATAGTGGTTTAAAAACGACAAGCTCCTTCTCCGTTAATGTGCACTTAACAAGCGTGTGTTTGGATTTATTTCCCGTAAAGCTGGTGTGTTTTACAATATGTGAAACTTAAATTAAACTTTACAATGTTAAGGCATTTTAGCAATTATTGAGATGCAAGTCTAAACAAAAAGGATAGGAAGCAATATTAGTTGTGATGGTTTGGCAATAATATGGCATTCTTCATTTTCTCATCACACACACATTTTCCGAACGTCCAATAAGCTGCCAGATCTTCCCAAAAAAACCATGGAAACGGGAGACTCAAAATATCATCAGGATTAAGGAAGACTTGTGCTAGCATCAATCGATATGGAAAAAAAAACCACACTCATTCTGAATAAAGATCAAACAGTAAATGTACAAAGTGTCGATAACATGTGACAAGAGATTAATTTCTGCCACAAAGAAATTGAAAACACAATTCAAGTAAAGCCTTATAAACTGAAATCAAATACAAATAATTGCTTTTAAATCACTTGGAATTGTTGCATCTTAGATTTAGATTATAAAAAAGTACATTCAACAGGTACCAATTATGGAACAAAGTGATAACAGAGGTAAGTAACAAGAATCAGTCATTGATATAGAAGAAAAATCATACAAAACCAATATTAAAGGCGGATTTAGACGATTTCAAATGATCTGGATTTACTTTTTGACTTTAGGAAGTAAGGGATTAATATTTGTGTCCACACAGCAGTTTAAAGTGCTTCTTACTGATAAATAGTGTGTTTTTGTTGCAAATCTAACGTTATTATTAGAATAATGATTGTTAAAGTCACTAACACTCTTAAAAATAGAATAAATGTAAGTAAATTAATTGAATCCTTAACGCTAAAGTCAATTTAACAACAATATTTTAGCTGGAAATAAAAAAAGGGGGTAAATTTACACTTAAAACAATAATAATATTACACTTTAAAGTTTTTTTTAATACCAGATCACAATCTAAATCCGCCTTTATCTATCTTAACATTTCCCAAACTCACTTCCACTCATTCACACCCCATAGCGAATTTTTTATTTAATCATAAATATATTATCATAGTTACACAAATGTAATTATATTCTAATATATAATCAAACTGAACTCAAACAAGGTTTATATAGTTCAATATCCGACTGTTTACATGTGACCTTGGACAAAAAACAAGTGGCGCAAAATGTGCAAGAAATCATGAACAATGAATGATGATTTGCTTAAAAATAAAAGCACCAGTAACTCCATCATAACGTAGAATAACTCAAGATTGATTTGACATTTAAAACGACAATAATCACAAGTCTGATTTCCACCCACAGGCTCATCGAACTGGAGGAAGAAGCAAAGAGAGGAGGAAGAAAGCCGGAGAGTGTTTTCAAACAAAGAAACTCCGCTGCGGGTAAGGCGAGAAAATGTATCCGAGACTTTGTTTAACATCAAATCCAGACGGCAAATGAAAGACAAGAGGCAGGTGAGCGATGAAGCCACAGAGGAGAGGAAGAAAAAGGCAGAAAATCATACTTTAAGAGACAATATCTACTTGTCTCCAAAACAGTTTCACAACACAGACCACAGGAAGTGCCAGAGCTCATTGACTGCCTTTAAAATGGACTAAACTGGGAGAATGGGACTCATTAACTGTACTTTAAGTGTTGCATTGAAATACTTAAATCCACTTGTATTGACGTAGCTGTATTGACGTAGCAGACACACAGGTTTAGAGTTCAATAAAGTAAACTAATTGGTTCTTTTGAACTGACTGTATGCACTCTTATGCTAAATTTCTTGTTGAAGCTGAACACTTGAGATGTAATTATCAATGTGTCACAAGCATCTCCTCCTCCATTAATTATCTTTTCAATTAAGTTTAGCGCACTTTTAAGTATTTCAAGTGACTAAATATCATGTTTTTGAAGCATCCAAACATTTACAGCGAAAAACAAATCTGAAATCTGTGATAAATGCTGATTTATTTTCTATCTTGCTTGGGAAATAAGGGCTATAAAAATGGCGTATGGTGTGTGGCGTTCTGCTTTCTTACTGCATGTTTCTGACATGGCACAAGGGGACTTAATAATAGTAAAAGAAAAAAGGTTTTGCACAGAATATCAGAGATCCTACAAATATTTACACGACAGATACAGGCACTTGTATATCTTTGGTTGGAAAAACCCAACATTGCAAGAGTAATGCATTCACAGAGCTGTTGTGTCCCTAATAGGATCTCCAGGGTTCACTAGGCAACTGGTATGTTTATGTATGTCTTCTGTTTCTTTGTCCGTGTTACAGGTAAGTTCTGAAATAGCTCTCTGTTGTCTTTTTAACCCTCTGAGAGCGCCACCTGCAACACAAGAAAAACGGCTTTTAGTGCAGCGGACTCGAAACAGGAAGTAATGCAGAAAGCCCCCGTCACACTGTCCCGAAATGTACACCAGATGGACACACGAATATGGAATTGTGAATTTCGCACGAAGATGGCCACGAAGTTGGTCAACAGCCAAGCAACAGCCGAAGCAAGTACGAGGCCTACAGAAGGCCACACGATGGCACACTCAACGTAAGAGCTTGTGCCTCTTCGGGGGGAGCTAATAACATTTAAACATACACGTTATTCTTTACTTTCTCCGTCTTTATATGTAGATTAGAAGATATTACTTATCTCCGTCATGTTGTTTCCATAGCAACAACAACTTCCTGTCAACAGAGTAAACTCGCCTTCAAAATAAAAGCATCTAAATAAGACAGGAAGTTAACCTAAATTACATTTACGACAAAAACAATGTAATATCCTTTTCAGTTCCACAGAACACAAATTGGGTTATTTACATAATCTGGTTACATGATTTTGTTGTGCAATAAATAGAATCTCGATGTCATTGAACTATAATACGATGGCTACACGACGGCTTCACGTAGTCGTGTTGCCTTCCTAAGACAATCGGGCAGCTTCTTGTTTCCTTCGTATTGTCTTCGTGAGGCGAAAAATGCCCGATGGCACCGATGATCAGACGAAGATGACACGATTTGACAAGATGCCCTCACGAGTGCCTTACGAAGGGCAAAATGGATACACGAATTCAACACGAAAATGAACCTTCGGCAATTTTTTGGCAAACATTTTGCCACCGCTCACGAAGTTGCTGCCGGAGCCTGAGAAACTCCACTGGCGGTCATACGATGGCTTAAGATGCCCTCACGAATGGCATGTCGATGTTGTTACGATCACAGCCGAATTTGAACACTTCCTTTATCGTGTGTCCATCTGGTGACAGTGTGACGCGGGCTTAAAGGAACACTTTATTAAAATCATACCACCAGAAAAATAGGGAATAAGGAAAGAATCGACAGCATTAGAGTCATGCAACTTGGCAGACAGGTTTGCTTTGAATGTGTAATCAATATTGTGATTTATTTGAATATGAAGTATTTGTTTGTGTCTTTGAGTAGCCTTTAAATTTATTATTATTTTCATTATCAGATCCTTTTGACTAAAGTAAATAGTGTGTATATATAGCCAGGGCCGCCGCTTGCGGACAGGCAACTGCTTGGGGCCCCGGACCAGAAGGGGGCCCCCCAAAGAAGGTAGATTAAGAAGGTCCACAGCAACGACACCATGATACACCCTTTAATTTACTGCAACGACATGTCGGGAAACCCCCTCAAAGCGGCTTATCTTAAGTTTCGTTGCTCTGTGTAGCTGATATCAGAATTATGTAAACTACTAAACAACTACTAAACAACAACAAACATTTCCTGCTGCTTTATTTATGTTAAAGTCTAACCGGACAGCAAACCACAGGAAGGATTTTATTGTGAAGTCGCTTCAGAAAGTGAGACACGTTTACCACTAAGGGAATCTTAAGATGCTTAATTCTTGGAGCTCTGACAAGATCTCAACTCAGTTTTGCTCTCAAAGTGCATTTTGGCGCAATTAAGAGTTAAATAAAAACATGTTTTTCACGTGAGTAAACGATCATGATGTCTATATTGACCAAATTAGGTGTGAATATAGTTTTACTATAATTTTAAATTATTTTTTGTATACCTTAATTTATTTTAATTAATCTTTTATTGCACATTTTTACTTTAAATTCCTATTTTTATTTAAATATATTAATTTTTTTAAATGTCTATTTAGTGCAAACTCTTACTCTAACTTATATATTTATATTATTTTATTTGTATTCTATTTTATTTTATTAGACATTTCCTTAAAAAATAAATGTATATATAACTATTTTTTTATTTTTTATATTTCTTGGAGATTACCTTAAGTTTTTTAATATATCTTCTTACAAATTCTTACTTCCATGTCTAATGTTATTTAACTATTTATAAAGGGGGATATAATTAAATATCTTTATAGCAAAGACAGCATTAATATGTATTTAGCTTCTTAAGCAAGAAGGAAAACGTGAGAAAAGCACACATTACATACAGAAGCCCATTGGACAGTGATCAGAGAGTCAGCAGTGTGATTGGATGAAGAGTTTAACCAATCACTGGTGGGTTGTAGTTGCTGGAGCTACCTGTTCTCGTCACATAGCACTGCAGCTGTGTGCTGTACCTTCTCTGGGCACATGTCGGCGCTGCTCTGCCGCACTTTGCCCGGCCGCCCTTTAATCACCGCGTAACAGAACATAGTGATGACCATGACAAACAGGAAGTAGCTGGTGTGCATCAGGTGCA